GGCTTCTGCATTTTCCAGATGAGCCCCTCCACGCACTCACCCGCTGACTGCGAGCCTCTCCCTTCATGCCAAAGAAAATCTTGACGGGACCCTCATGGCAGAGCCAGCGAATTACGTGGGAAACCACGGTGATAAACGGGAGGTTTCCCACACTTGGCTTTTCCCCTGAGCCACAGACAGGTCCCATGCAAAGAGCATTTTATAATTCCAAGTTCTTGCCATCTTTTCTATGTTTTTAGGTATTAAATAGGAAATTTGAGGAAAATATTCTTGGATTTTAAAATATAATGCCGGATTAGTTACATTTCCCCCCTTCCCCGGAGGCTGGGAGAATATTTGCACCTGGGCCCCACTTGAAGAATTTCCTGCCCCTGGAACCACCCTAGGCCCCAGCTACCCCACTCCTTGGCATTCATCTAAAGAATCAAGGTTGCCTGCTCTGGTGGTCCACGCCACCTGCGGTTACAGCAGCTGGTTTACAGGGACCGGCCTAGGTGTCCCTGAGTGGGGGAAGGGTCAAGCAGATGTGGTCTACGTGCGCAGTGGGGTTCTGTTCAGCCAAAAAGCAAAATGAAATTAGGTCATTTACAGGAACATGGATGGAACTTGAAACCACTGTGTTAAGTGAAATAAGCCAATTCAGAAGGTCAAGGGTCGCATGTTTTTCTCCCATATGTGGAAGCTCAAGAGGAGAAAGGAAAAAAGTGGGGGTCGGAGGAACTCCTGAAAATCTACAGGAGATCAGTGGAAGAGAGGAAAGGGACCAGGGCGTGGGAGGAGGGGAGAGATGGGGACCTGCTGGGCACTGATACTGGGCAGATTACATTGTTGTACTGTGGGCAGGTACAAATACCTCCCATCAAACCCCACCAGTATGTACAGCTATAAGTAAATAGATAAATGAGTGTGGGGAAAGGAATTCCTGCCTTTGCATAGAAAAATAAAGGGCTTAAAAAAAAACCTCACATAAGAAAAGACAATCATATGAAATTATTCACTTTCACGTTCCCTTTGAAACCCTCCCTGGGTACGTACGTACCTTTGCTAACAAATAGGAGCCTCAAAATTCTACAAACAACAGACCTTGGCCTTGACTTTGATGCTGCACATTTATATTAACTCGCGTTCAAAACCTCCCATCTCCTGCCTCTTTCCCTCCTCATCCTCTTCCAATAAGGTACTGCAGAAAGTAGCTTGCATTCGCAGAACCAGGGTTGTTTCTTTCTTTCTTTGGTACCAGGGATTGAACCCAGGGACACTTAACCACTGAGCCACATCCCCAGCCCTTTTAAATTTTTTATTATAAGACAGGGTCTTGCCAAGTTGCTTAGGGTCTCACTAAATTGCTGAGGCTGGCAAGAGTGGAGGATTATGGGTATTTCTCTCCCCAAATCACCTTAGCTATTATACCATCTTTTCAATTAAAAAGGTCTTATAAAAAAAAAATCAACTGGTTGCCAAGGTGTTTGGCCCCCTGAGGGTGACCCACCATCATGACCGAATCTAGGCATTCACAGCAGAAATCACTGGGAATGTGATGAATCCAATTTACAAAATTTCATTTTAACTGTGACACATCAGGGGCATGGCAAATGAAAGTCCCCTATGCTTACTGACTCAGAAAAAGAACTCCAACAGGACCTGGTTGACTCACCCAGATTGGTGCATGACAGTGGCATGCTAGAGCTGGCAAGGACGTTTAAGGACAAGTTGTTAAATTTTCAGGAATTTTTGAGGTGGGTGCTGAACCCAGGCATTCTTTAAAATTCAATTATATAAACTTAAAATAAAAATTTATGTTAAAATGAATTGAGCCGGGTGCGGTGCACACCTGTAAGCCCAGCGGCTCGGGAGGCTGAGGCAGGAGGTTCGAGAGTTCAAAGCCAGCCTCAGCAACTTAGCAAGGCCCTAAGCAACTCAGCAAGACCCTGTCTCTAAATAAATATAAAGGGCTTGGGGATGTGGCTTGGGTTTAGTCTCCAGTGGTTGAGTGCCCTGGGTTTAATCTCCAGTACACTCTCCCCGAAAAAAAAGAACAGAATACAGTTTTAAATCTCATGATTCCCCAGGAGTTCTGCTATCTTTTTCAATTATTTGTTGCCCTTGAGGCTGCCTCTGTTTTAGCTCTCTGGAGGAAATGTGCCACTGTGCATCTCTGCCCAGCTCTGCTCAGTGACGTCACATTGGTAGTTTAAAAGGAGGGAGGATTTACACCAGCAGATAAATCAGGAAGATCAGGGCGCCCCTCAACTCCTCCAGGGAAAATCGTTAAACAATTTATCAGCACAACACTGATCAAGGCCTCCCGGCTGCTCCATTTCCTTGACTGCCCTGGGCCAGCTGGGCCAGTGTCCAATCCTTTGCCCTTGAGCTTTACTGAAGGAATTATTCAACCCCTTGGCACCAGCTTGCAGTTCCACCCTAGTCCCACAGGGGGCGCAGCCTTCATAGTCCAGAGAGGCCAGATGTCACTCACCTGGGTCTTCACCAGTTTGGGCAGGGCTGGCATCAGGAGGCTGGTGACTTTATCCGCTAAGGGGCTGACCCAGAAGGAGATCCTTGGGGAGAGGAGAGTGGGGAGATCAGGAAGGGTCTCCTGCTAGAAAGCACCTCCCTAGAGTGCAGGGAGGAAGGAAGAGCCTCATGCATGCCAGGCGAGCGCTCTACCTCCGAGCCCCAGCCCAGATTCCCTGGGAGGAGCCCCAGGTCAGGAACCAGGAGGGACCCGTCCCCTTCTTTCTCTAAGCCTCGTGTTCCCCATCTTTAAATGGAAGCAGGCCACGGCCCGGCCTCCCTCGGGGTCTAGGGGAGCCGGCGTGGCTAGAGACTCACTTGTGGAGCAGGCTGATGTGCAGGCTGCCCTGTCTGTTGAAGCAGTCGCTGAGGACGAGGGCCGAGGGGCCCACCTGCTCGCTGTCCACTCTGATGCGGGCTTCCACCTCAGACTGTATGTGCATGTCCACAATGGTCTTGACCAGGGGCCTGGGGGCGGCGGCAGCAAGGCCTGAGTGCCATCCTGACTGGGCCTGGTCTAAGCCACCACCATCCCCTCCTGAGCTCTTGTGGTATCTTCTAGGAGGCCTCCCTGCTCCACTTTCGCCCCCCCACAGTCTGCTTTCCCCATAGTCTGCAGAAGGAGGCGTGAGGAATGTTCGGCCAGGTCCTGCCCCTCCTGGCCTGAGACCCTCCGTGGCTCCTATGCATCTCAGCGAAAGCCAAGGCCTTACCTGGGCCCCTGAATCTTGGCATAATCTGGCCTCAGTTGCCCGTCGACCTCATCTCTGGCCCCTCTCCCTGCTGCAACCCTTCTCTTTGCCATTCTTTGGACAAGATGAGTATATCCCGGCCTCAGGACCTTTGCAGTTGCTCTTCTAGGGACTATCTTTTTTAGATACTTGCATGGGGGAGGAGACTGAGTGGACCAACCCGTCAGGCCCACTGCCTGACTGAGGGGTCACTCACGTGTTGAATCCGGCTACCATGTCCAGGGGGATCTTGATTACTAGCTCCTGGTCCTGGTCTGAGGGCTGGATCTGCAGCTGGGTGATGGCAGCGGAAGTCACCTTCAGCCTGGATGGTAAGAAGTAAGAATCATGCTCAGCTGAGTGCCGTCCCCAAGCCTGCTCCCTCTCCGTCTGTCCTGTCTTCCCTGGGTGCATGGCCAGTGACCGGATCCCAGGCCCTGTCCAGTGGCTCCTCTCCAGCCTGGCCTTGCCCCTCACGGTCCTCCACCCGTGTTTGCCGCACTCTGCCATGGCTCCTCGCCCTTTAGGAGGTGACTCTCTGCTTCTTGGTGGACCCTTAAGCCTCCCTGGGACCTGGCCCTGTGGACTCTTGCTCCTTGCTGTGACCTCAGCCCTTCTGCTCTGCTGTCCCTACTCATGCCTTTGCCCAGGCTGGTCCCCCTTTCTGGAAGGCCACTTTCTTCAGGTCTTTGGCTCAGCTGTCCCCTCCACTGGGAGGCGTCCCCTCGTCCCTTCATTCTCCCCTCCCAGGCCCCCTTCTTCTGGAGTCGCCCTCTCAGGGTTCCTGCGTCCCTCTCTGTGCCACCTCTGGCTGCTCTGGGAGCCCCTGGAGGGAGGGACTGGTCCCATCCGCTCTCTG